AATTATGCATTAGGCGGGGGTTTCTGGTTTATTACTTGCTTCTTGAAGTGATTTCCTATTGCATTGGCATGGTTCTGCTACCTTGGGTTGTATAAACCGATTGTTTTAATGTTAGATTGGCATTTATCTTGAGTCCTATGATAGTAAAGCTTCTTACTGTTGGTCAAGTTGAGGGGTTGGTTTAATGAGTACATTTGGTACTTCTAGGTAACAAGTTGAGCCGTCTTGCTGATTAAACCTCAATTTCTGAAGTCTTGGAAAGAGTGGGTTTTCGTCAGCAAAGTCTGCCTATGAGGGACTGAAAGTTGGTGTGGTTGTAGTATTTTACAGCTTATTTAATTCGTCTCTCAAGTGATTAATTAAAATAAATTTTCGGGAATTATGTATCAGTAGTGTAGTGATTCAGTAGTTTCTTGAAGCACTTGGAATGGTTCTTATCCGGCCCTGTGTTTAAAATTGGTCGGTTGATTTTGCAGCTTTACAGTGTTTTCGTTATGTCTATTCGCGTACGGTTATTTGGTAGTATTGGTAACAGTTTTTGAAATACTAGAACTTATTTGTATTTATTGTTTGAGTTTCCTTTAAAAACGGTTTCAGTATACGGCGTCAACGGTAAATCCTTCCTTTGTTTTCGTGCTTGCTAGTCTTGTAATACGGCTTTGAATTTGGGGAAAAAAGCAAATTTTCTGTGGCAATGAAAGTTACTTCGTTGTCGATGCAGGATGGTCACTTACGTTGGGCTACCGTTCTGAGATATGTAGTCATTATCAGCGTGTAATTATTGAAACTCAATTTTGCTTATTTAGGACTTTTGCGATAGAATGCCATTTGTTTCTCAAGTTACGTTTTTTATGACAAATGGGTAAGTTGCATTCCCACACCACAAGAAATGTCTGATGACTTCACAGGCTAATCCATTTAGCTCAATAACTGTATTTTCTTCTTTGTGAGTAAAAGATGCTGTCATACTCCTCGCAGTAAATTTTCTAAAAGATATTTATAGCGCTTTATTACCTTGAGCAATTTTTTATTTCTACTACAGTTGGGTTTTGCTTTATAAATGGTTTTAATGGGCACGAAGTTTTTTTCGGCATTTAGCTGATTGTAGGAAGAATAGAGTTTTCACGGGGGTTATGGGTAGGTTACGGTGTTTATGGTGAGTAAATTGTTGCTCTGTAGTTTTGCGTTTTAACTATAGTTGCTTTAGATGAAGAATCCTTTATCCTTGTTCCATCTCAGTTAGAGTGTTCTGGATTCCATTAATTTTTGTTATACTTTTCTTGACATATATTGTTTTAAAAGTTGATCGGTTTTTTTTTTTTTCGATAAAATCCGTTTGATAAAATCTGTTAGAAGATAGAAGAAATTTATTTTAAATGGTCTAATTGCCGCTTGTGTGAATTTTCTAAGCGAAGTATTTCGATTTTGCGAACATTTCGAAGTCTGGCTTCATGTGGGATGTTACGGACGAAAATAAGGAGTTGTTAATGGCATGGATCAGTGAGTATGGGCAAAGCGAAACAAAAACATTTGTTGAAAATCATCTGAAGGTACGTATTCTTAATCCTATTGCTCTGAGCACTTTTGTAGACTTACAGCTACACTTCCGCAGTCTGGTTGTAAAATAGGTTTCAGGGGAAAACTGTGGCATTAAACTATGAGGAATTGTCAAAGATTCTAATGCCCTTAACGGATGACTTTCCTGTATATAAATTTGTTGAGCGCTTGAAGGTGCATAAGCCAATTGTAAAGAAAGTTACCAATCCTGCTTACGAGGCTAGGATCCAAAAACTAAAGCGAGAACAGGTGCGTGTCGGAATCTTCTTTTAGCTCAGTTATCCAGAGAAAGAAATGAGTCAGCAGTTAGCTTGTTAATCTTGAAATGACTCATTTCCAGTTTGCCAGTCTGTTTTGGGAATAGACGAAGAAGGTGAGTTGGGAGGAAGGGGGACGCAAGAAAAATTGTTGTTGAAGTGCTTGTTAATTTTTATTTATTAATGAGACTCAAGTTATCATCTTAGTGTCTTTTTATTATAAATATAGTGGCGGCCAAAAAATACAAGCAAGAACTTTTTTCTCTGAAAATATTATAGTTCAAAGTGGAATAACTTTATACATAGGTTACGGATGATAAAAGTATGAAGGCTTTGCTGACTACCAGCTAGGTAAGAGCTTACTAATTGCACTTTAAAATGCAATAACCCCTAAGGCACAACAGTTACATTTTTGAAGATGACAAGTTGTTATATATTTTTTTCGGGCTGAAAATCTCTTTTCTCATTATGGCTTTCGCATTTGGGGAGCAAGAGGCTTAGAGTTTTTTAGATTTTTAAATATCTTATAACTCTCAAAAAGTAGATCTATGCTCGTACAATTAGTTTCTTTTGTGTTAGTGTAGAGTCAGTTCTTTGTTTACTTTTTTTTCTTTTGGCTGGTTTATCTAATAGTTTAACAATCGTGAGCAGCCGAAATACGGCCATTATAATGTTGTAATTTAGGAAAATCGAGAGTATTTAGAAATGACTAGTTCTATCGATCCTAACCGTCACTATGGATCGGAGAGACTGATGGGCAGTTTTGGAGAGGTTCTCATTACATTCTCCTGCTGGAAGAAGTTTATAGTATTCGACATTTTATACTTACAGGAATTGAAAATGGTTAATCGACAAATGTTGGCTGTCTTCAATACTGTTGTGACTGTAGGAGGGGCTTTTTCTTTTGGCTTTTTCGGTAAGGATTTTCACGGTTGCCATTTCAACTTTTTATGAATAACGTCAATTTTACTTCTTGTTTTCTAGGCTTAAATTATGCTTATCCGAGTCTGAATATGGGTATTGAAACTAGAATGACGATTGGTTTCGCGCTAGCTACTGTTGTGTTTTTCGCAGATCTATATTTCATTGTGAAGGGCATGGATAATATGGAAAGCACAGCATTGGAGGTCGTCGAGATGAGCTTTTAATTATTTAAGACCAAAAATTTAAAATATGTTCTTCAGTTTAGGATATGATTAGATTTCTATTCTTATCTTAGTAATGATAGACAGCCGAAGTAAGTAGGTGCTTAGCACTTAATGCTGTTACATCTACATTTTTCTAATTTTTGCATAGGTCTACAACTGCTTCGGAATTCTTCGATACTCTTAACAAAACTTCCAGTACTGTCAGTTATTGCTTAATCTTTGAACTTATGCTTAAAGAGCTCATTTTTAGGGCAGAAATGCCTCTTGATATCCATAAGTTACTTTTCCTTACAACTTCATCAGTGATAATAAGGACGGAGTTCAATCATGGGCTAGCTTTTACAGAAACGATATCTTGAATATTTTTTTTGCGTACTGTGACAACACTGAATTTTTACCAAAGATTCAAACGACTTCCTAGCTGGTTTTGAAATTGCGATATACACTGTGACTGTAGCACTTATCATTAGATGTTGCAAAAAATTTTCGCATCTTCAATTGGTATCTATTTGTATTGCTCTAAGAGCCCTTGCATTTTTAGCCTCGAGGATTGTCGATGCAGTTCAGGAAGGAAGGAGTAAACAATAAACAGGATTCAAAGAAACAGGCCTGACATTTCGAGTAGAGGGAATGGTAATAAAGAGCATGGGCCTGAAGTAGATGATTAACTGTTTATTAATTACTTGTTATAAATAAAAACATATATATGCTTATTGCACGCATGTTTAAAGTTGCTGGATTAGATACTTCCTTACCTCGTTATCTTATTATGAGAGTTATCCTTACTTGCCATTCAAATAATTCATATCAAATTTGGAAAAGACTTTGCTAAAGAGGTTTTTATATCTATTCAAATTTGTTAATTAAATAAATTTTAAATGGTTTTTTTATATAATAATCTACTAATTAATTTCTAATTGCTTCGTTCAATGCTGACGGCACCAGTTGATATAAATTTAGAACGATGCATAGATGCCACTGGTCGTTTCAAAAAGAGCACTTGCTTCCGGTGTTTGGAAAACTTTTGAAAAATCAAACTTACTCGTTCCTTCACCTTAAAAACAGTTCACTGGTTCAACAGTCTGTGAATAGCAGTAAATTTGGTAATGTGTTTTTGAGTCAACAAGTGCTTTTTAAATTATGCGCAACTTTGACCTATTAACAGTCGATGATCTCATTGTTTCTCACAAAATTTGAGTGAAGCTGCAGTGGGAGATTAAATTGAACTTTCGAGTCAGGCATGACGTGGATTCATCTTGCCACGTTTTTTTTTTTTTTTTTTTTTCATTTCGAAAGGTTGTGATTGTATATGAACTTCCTGCTTTTTTTGCTTATAGGCAACGTTCACGAAAGCTTTCGTCACTAATTTCAGGAAGAAAAGGAGTGCAGATTGGTAAACTTGTGCCGTTTAAGTCTATCCCGCCAAAGGAGCTGGGTGTTTCAATACTTTATGGAAGTGGAGATAAAAATGATGGTAGCGAAGCTGCTCATGAGGTCTTGAGAAGACGTGTTTGTATAACAAAAGTAAGTTCAGGGAGCCTAGAAAAGTTAGTATGTTAAGGTTTCGTAAGTTGCATTCAAAAAGAAAATACAGAAAACAGCACTAGTTTCTATTCTATCTTGTCATACTGCTACTTTTTTTAGGGTACTTCACGCATTGTGGGGAAGTTTCTTGATGAATATTTGAGTTTACAGTTAAAGCATTGAAGTTTTTGCAACCACTTTTGCTTCCAGAAATTACTATATCAAGTTCTAATAAATTGATTTTCTGCCTTCGGTTTACTGCTAGTCTTTTATGGATAGTAATTTTCATCTAAAAAGGACATCAAGTTAAATATCTTTAGTGTCAGTGACTCCTACTGCTATTAGTCTTGCATCTTTTTATTTTATGCTGTTTTCTAAAAATAGAGTTTTCATATTTCAATTGATTTTTAGGTACTTTCTTTGTCCAGTTCTGCACTTGGTCTTGCAATGGTTCCAGTACTCACAAATTATTTGTGGGATAGTGCAGTCGACTGCCCTCCCATGATGGCATTTGCTGTAGGTCTGAATTCAGAAAATTATTCTTTTAGTTTAATTGTTTCTTGGTTTTTTGGTTTATCGAGGAATTCTGGCAGGTGCTGGTTGTATGAATTTGCATTTTCTAAACTTTGGTGTTGAATATGTACGAGTTATTCGTGCCATATACTTCTCTATTAAGGGGGTTTTTTTATTTTTTAAATCACTAAAACTTTATGTCTGTTCAAAAACCGTTTTGCAAAAACAAACCTTCATTAATTTTTCTTTTTTAGTAGCTAATGCTTTCCTTGCTTTACTGTCGTTAACACCATTTCTGCTGCAGTTATTGGTTAAACGTTTCATTGTCGACATATATTACAATTCGGAATCCAAGGTAACTAGCTACGAAACGATTTGCTAAATTGGCTATAGTTTTTACTGTCTGATTACAAATTTTTTTGGGCAAACTTCTCACAGTTTATTTTTTGTTTTAGATTTTTACCACTGTTCACTATGGGTTTTGGATTAATAAAAAAGCTTTACGGTTTTACTGCGATGATGTTGCCGATGCTTCTGTTGCGCCGGAGATGCGAAAACTTTGGTTACCATTAGCTACTGTTTTCGTTTATGGACGGCCATTGTTACTCTCTTTGAATATTGATGCATATAAGAACAGAAATGCATTTTTAGAATTGACAAAAAATGTTTCTATACCACCGAACAGCGATTAGCTATCCTAATTTCGCTTTTGCTGTAATAATTCTTTTGGGGTAGCAGAAAAACGAATTAAAGTAATCTTAGGAATTCAAAATCACAAATGACGTGCAAGTTTACTTGACAGTTTTTCCACTGTGTGTGTAATTTTGAAAGAGTGATTGCAATCACATTATTTTTAAGTCGCTTCGTTTCTTATTTTTATCCGGAACTCACTACCTCAATTTCAGTGTTCTTTTATGTAATCTGTGGTTGTAGTAAGTAAATTAAGTATTATTTTCTTATTCAAAAAGCTTCACTGGTAGATTTTTGAACTTAAGAACAGCCTCTCGCCGCACGTCTGACTGTTTCAATCTGATGTTATCAACTATAGTGCCCATCCGTTTATAAAAATTAAAAATTTAAAATTAAAGCAGGTTTTCTTATCAGTTTAAATAATTTATAAGCTTACTTAGAAGGTTGTGGTGAACTGTGCGAGAAATCTGCAGAAATCTTATTCTTAACTTGTGAAGATATTGTAAGGGGCCAGAGAAAATATTGCACACATTACAAAAAAAAAACTCGAGATAACATTAAATTTTGAAATGACATGAGATGCTATTTCGTATTTTAAACTGCAGCATTTTAAAATCGCTTATAAACGAGACATCGCAATGATTTGCATTTGTCTCGACTTTTGTTTGATGCTTAGTGTTCTGAACTGCTAAGTAAAAGTTCTATTGCAATTTTTTATTCTGATGGTCTATTTCATTTTACTGCATCTGTTTATATTTTCTGCGTTCTCCACAGTTGTTCAAGCTTTGGTTGGTGGAGTCGAAGAAGACTGGAAAAGGAATGCATATCTTGTTAGGGTAAGTGATCGTATTGTTGGGATATTGGTTGTTTGGAAGTGAAGAAATTCAGTGTTTTACATAGGTGTTTATAACTGAGTTGAAGCTCTGTAGTCGCTATGACTGGCTAGAAAGCACAAGAGAATTTTTTTTGACATTTAAATTCTGAGTTTGGAATACAAGGACAAAATTGTGAAATTTTGTAATATGGTAGGCTGAGCAAGATAGCTAAAGTTTGTGCCTTTATTCGGTCGTAAACATTGGGTGGTGTAAGAGTGCTTATTTAGGTGTACTCTTGGAAGGACAGCGGCAGTAAGATGGCCAACGTCTGTGCAGGAACGATGATCACCCCGAAAGTTGTGTTGACACCAGCTCATTGTATTGCTGAAGCCGGCATACCGTAATTTCATGAATGACGTTTATTCAATGAATTTTCTGCAAAAAAAAAAGACAGGATATTAGCTTTCGAGATAGTAGAGAAGAAGTAGATTTGATATGCTTTAAGCTGGTTTATTTTGAACTATCTCAAAAAAATTTTCTTAAATATATTTTCATTTTAGTGCGTCTCAGCTGCTAGTAGCTGTTCCTGAGCGTAGATTAGTGGACAGTGTTAATGACAACCAAAAAGCTTTAGCCTTCGAGACGGTTACGTTTGAAGCTGTGATAGGGAAGCTGACAAAGTCGTGGGCTCTTTTAAAAATTCGTGGTTTAAATCCAAATTTAGTAGGTTTCCTATTTTTACTGTTTTTCCTAATACAGATTATTTTTCAGTTATACAAAAGTGTATTTTTAAGAGAAGTTTCTTAACAAAAATGTGTAGGATTATAGTTTATATTAAAAGGGCTGTAGTGTTTCTTATAAGAAATCTAGGGAAAATAAAACTTCTTCCGCATTTGGTGAATGATTACAAGTTGTAAAGGGCTTAACGCTTCATTACTGTTTTGGTTTCATCGCAGTTCAAGTCTGAGCAAGGTTTCACATGGACATCAGCTGATTCTTTTTCTGACCTAAGAAATTCAGTTGATTCATATGGTTTGGATAAAAATAAAAGATTCTCCTATTAAAACAGCTGGGACGGATAAGGACTGAGTAATCAAAAACACAGAAATAGAAAGTAGTGGCAAGTTCTTTGTATAATTCGTTATTTACAAAACAGCGGACTTTATATTTGAATTATGCGTTTAATCTGCTGGTGAGGGGTTAAAAGAAACGGACCGAGGAAGCTTTCAGGAAATTTTTAACGCTATTTATGACGAATCTAGTTTACATGCTTGCATTTTATTGTTTTCTATTTGGGCTTCATTCGCAGCTGTTTGTTGCCGCTAGTAACCGTTTTTTTAATGTAGTTGAAATACTGATTCTTTGTCAAACACGTATAGCTTGGAAATGATCGCTGTGTAAATCAGTTTTCTAGACTACCGTTCGTGATCTGCTGAACAAGTTTTAATTACCTACTGTGCGAGGTTGAGAGGATTTCCTATTTTGAAAAGCATAAAATTTTAGGTATGCTCACAAAGTCAAACAGCTCCGAAAGGAATAGTGAGGCTCAATCTGCAACCAACTTTACTGGACAAATCTATGGTACCGATTAAAAAGGCAGATATCATTAAAATGGATTGCTACATGATCGGGTTTGGTGGTGCGCTATTTAAGCCACATCGTTTTTCTTCAGAATAGATATTTTTTTCAGTACCTGTGGTAACGTATTTTTTCAGGTGGTGTGATTAGTTTTAAAGACCTCGAACCAGTTCAGAAAGTCAAAGTTACTGATCTGCAAACCGGTGAATACGGACTACTTCGCGCTAAACTATCGAACACTGCAAGAGAGGTAATGAATTTTTTGTCAGATCTAGCATCATTTCTTCTTTTCTTGAAAGCTTGTTTTATGTCTGATCTAATTTAACTAATTTTAGCTTGATATGGGGACTCCATTATTTTGTAAGCATGAAAAACTTGGCGACATTCAAATTGGCTATTTAATGGTTGGTAAACGTGACAGAGAGCCTACAAAGCTGACAGAAAACACAACTTTATCTGAGAAAACAAAGCCGAATAAAGATGAGAAAGCTAAAGATCTGAAAGAAAACTCAAAGGCCCAGTCTTACAGCAGTATGTATCAGGAGCTTCTTTTTTACACGATACCTACCAAAAAAGCTTTTTTTGAAGCGCTTGAGGAACTGGATTTGGGTGGTCTTATCAGTGCTTATCAGTTATGTGAATTCTTGCGTCCACCAAGTGGACTGTAGTTTTTTAATGGATTAAAAAGCAATTTGAGTTCTAATGGAATATGTTTTGTGATCTTGATTGTTTGAATTTCAGTTGCTGTTTCATTAAAAAAGTAGTACTGTAAAGTTTTTTTTATTTATTGTAAATGTTAGATATTGTTGAATTTTTAACGAATGATCCTTAGAATGCCACATGGCTTTTTTATTACGCATATAGAAGATAAAAGAATATAATGGGACGGAAACGACCAACATTGAAAATCTGATCGTATAGATTGATTTCACATGTTTACCATAGACTTAACAATATTCTTTAGATTTGATACAATTTACGATAAGAACTAGTCGTTTATCAATATTACTGTATCCATACTGCATTTGCTAGACTTTTTTCAACTTGATTTAGGTGAATCCGTAACAACTGATTGAGCATCAAAAATTTAAGGTTTTAATTCTTAAGGGAATATTCTATTCTTGAAGAAATTTGTTCATTTTAGACGACTTTTTCTGCATTGAAAAAGTCTGTAGTTTGGAACGCTGTAAAAGTGGTAACTTTAGGATGTTTAGGATGTTTACTCTCTGATTAATGGAAATGCTCGGTGGGATAGGATTTTTAAACTTGAACGACAAAATAGGATGAAGCTTAGTCTCATCTTTCAGCAACATGTTTATTGTTTTTTAAAAATACTTAGTGAGACTACTTAAGAAACACAAACTCATAAAAACAAAAACAGTCGTATAATTGAATAAAGAGGCGTGGAAAAAAGGAAATTTCAAAATATGGACGAATGGTGTATTAATGAAATACAAAAAAAATTTTTGATATAGGTATGTTGTTCAAGGAGGATGTTTTTACTTCCATTGAAAACATTTCATTTTCTCTCATTTGCTTTTTTGTTTCTAATTACCGAAGGTATGCTTTCATGATCATCTTCACTCGTTCACATGTAAAACCGAAATTTGCTAGGCCCAGTTTAGTTGGTAAAAAGTGTTTGCAAGCACAAGCAAACAATTTTACTATTTATAAATAATAATATTACAATGGCAAGTTTTGACGAACGTTAGCTGATTCCTGGCAATTCACTGAAGTTAACACTGATTGTAGGACGATGACCAAATTGGGAATTTTTTTACAGCTAATCTTTAGCGCGTAAACAAAAGTGTTAGACTCAAAGTTGATAACGCATTGGGAAATGCGAATTCTTTTTAAATTCATTTCTTGGTCTCCAGTGCAGATTAATTGATAAAGCAGTCTGTAAGCAGAAAAAGATACGGCTATAACAATTCGTCAGTTTCTTTTTCTAAATATTTCCCTTTTATTGCCTGCTCTTTTTTTGCTTATTTAATTTTGGAAATTAAAAAAAAATTCACAAGGCGTTTCCTTTCAGTTTGTGTTTTTTGAACAAATGATAACGGTTAGTTGTTTGGTTAGTGCTGATGGATCGGGTTTGAGGTTTTTCCATCATTTGCTTGGTTCTGTTCGAATAAACAGTATCGCCTGTTGGGCACCGCACTGAACGAACAAACGGCTTAGTACATTTATCTGTGTGCCAAACAAATGCTTTCACTGTTATTTTTCAAAATACTTCCAGCAACTATCAAAAATTTTTTTAAATTTTTTTCCTGGTTTTATTTTTGTCGTTATTTACGCAATTTCTGCTGCTGTTGTTGCTACTGCCGTTGCTGCCGCTTTTGCTGTTCTTACTGCTTTCCAGTCTAAATTCGATCTGATTATTTGAAGCACTGACTGTAAATATACATAAAAGCAATTTTATATGATTTGATCGTCGAGCAGAGAAGAAATTTACAAATACACTTGCTTCTTTTATTTGATCTTTTTTATTTCCGTTTCTATTATTGCCTTTAAGCTCTCTGCGCAGTTTCCGCCTACTGCTGTAACAGTTCAACGCATAAGCCCCATTTAGTCATTTCTCTGAATCATCGAGGAGTTTAGTATCTTCCACCTGATTCCTTCCCTCTTCAATTTTGCATGTTGCTTTATATTATTCAGTTTTTTTTTCACTTTTATATGACGCTAATATTTTTTCCCTTGCTATTATATATTTATATTTATACAACACGATAGTTTAGCATTTATTATTTTTTGCTCTTTCCTCAAATAACCAAAAACAGTTATTTTGGAAAAGCAAGTTGGGAAGTAACTGAAGATGGTCAAAAGAAGAAATGAATGAATTGTATGTTTTGCGAAGCCAATATCAAATTTTTTGATAAGGCTGAGCGATACAAACAGATAAGATAACACGCAAAAATATGGCAAAAAGTCCAAAGTAAAAAGACGGCTTTTTGTTACTTTGAATGTTATTTAGCTATGAAAGAAAAGAAACTGTACAAAAGGGACAAAA